TTTATATTAATAATAAATATCATTTTTTTTTTTCTAGCACAACTTTGAGTTTCATGCACAATGCAATTGTAAGGTGCTGACTGAAAACAGTTTTCAATCAGCATCAGTTGTACTACTGGTGAGGAAAAAAATGAATATTTATTATATAATAATAAATATTCATTATTAGCACCAACACTCAGTGTGCAATATTTCATATATATATATATATATATATATATATATATATATATATGATGGAGTGTGTTCGTACATGTTCATAATTATAACAGACCATGTTTCATGCACATTTACAAAAATATTCACAACTATCAATGACATTAATTTTTTGTCTTAGCAATTCATCCCTGAAGATGATCTTGGATAAGATTGAAAGTACTTCGGAATATAAAAGAAACAACAAAAACTATGGCACCTTTCTTAGTTTAATAACAGCACTAAAAAATTGATTTGTGAATTTTAGAGGATTAAAATAAAAATACATACAATATTTCCAGATTATTCAACTAAACATGCTTGTATGAAGATATGCTTCCTAAAAATATATATATATATATATATACACACATCTCGACAAAAATAAATTATTCTTTACCAACTTGTTTCATACTCTGATGGCAAATATATCTAGAAAAAATCATATATATACACACACACACACATATATATGTATATGTGTGTGTGTTTGTATATAAAATGATATGTGTGTGTTTGTGTTTAAAATGATATATATGTGTGTGCATGTGTGTGTTTGTGTATAAAATTATATATATTATATATATATATATATTTTTACACAAACACACACACACACATATATATATATATATATATATATATATATATATATGTGTGTGTGTGTGTGTTTTGTATAAAAATTATATATGTATATGTGTGTGTCTGGCTGTGTGTAATTCTTGTTTCTTAATTGAATATTGATTGCAGACAATAATTATTCTATGAGTTATCTGAACTGATATTCTTATCCTTGATGTCAAAATTATTTAGAACAACTCCTGGAATAATACTGGTTCGGTTTAGAATTTTTGGCAATATTCCATAACCCTGTGACCTTCTGGTTCAGTCTTCAAATTAAAATTTGGATGGGAAAATGGTTCTCATTGAATTTACTCCCTTGCAGCTTCTACTATTTGTATTTTGTTCAAAATGGCAGTTCTTGTTCTGTTTTTGTTTTTTTGTTTTGCTAAAGAATTTGAAAACCTTGAATGTTTTTATTGAGGGATTGGTTCTACAATGTAAGTATAATGTTAAATTAAATTCTTGCTTTACAACTACCTGGTTAACTAAACCATCTCTGTTTCTATTTGACCATATAAATTAAATATCTAGCTGAAAATTTTGTAGGAAAATTTTGTCACTTTTTTTTGGTCACTGAAAAAAAACAAGATATTTGTGCTGTTGTGTCAGCACTTGAAGTATGTGCAATTCCCACCAGGGGGCAGACCATAAATTTTAACCACCTGACAGCATTTATTAATTCATAAGTCCTCACAAAAATATACTTCAGAGTTATGCTTGTCTTTACTGAGGCAATAAAAATTCATCAAACAATGGAGGTTTGTAGAAAATGTGGCTACTTGAAATCTTTTGTGAAATTCAACACAAGATATTTAAATTAAATGTAACTCACATATTTACAATAATGATTTTAAGATAAGATATACGTTTAAAAAATATCCATAATCCAAATCCATGGCCTCCAACTGGAGCAAAAAGGTGGGTTTATATATATGATTAAAAATATCATACGGTAAGCTATATTTATAGATAAAAGTGCTCAATATCAGGTACAGAACATAAGTAAATATAAAAGTGGACAATGAGGTCAATATTGAGTGGCAATAGTCTTTTTCATGCTTGACTGTAATTGTAATCTTCAGGCTCGAAGCTTGAGTTCAAGCATAAAACAAACTATCACCCCCCCCACGTATACAGGGTGCGATGGATAAATTGTCGTCTAAGTTACGCAAAAATGAAAATAGCTAACATCTCATTTTAACAGATATATTTACCAAAATTACACAAAAGCTGCTCAACTGCACTACATACATATTAATTAAGAGGATTGCAATCTGGGGAGTTAGGTGTCCATATGTAAGGAGTGATGTCGCCGCAGGAATTGCTTGACAGCCATGACTTGTGTGCTATGGTGAAGAGTCCTGTTGCCAGACATAGCGTCTTCCAGCAGCCACCCTCTTGACCCAGGTCAGCACTACATCCTCAAGGCACTTGATGTAAGCCTCTTGGTTGAGTCTGAGGCCTTCACCAACAAATTTGGGAGTTTTTTTTTTCTAATCAGAACAATCAGAGTGAGTTTCCTGAGCTGCTGCGCCTTCATAATCGCCATTAGACTAATCCAACTCTCTCTGAATCCTCTGCACTGTCCTCAGATTGACACTCAAACATTCTGAAATGTTCATATTTGAGCTTCCGTCACAGATGCCAAGCAGTACAGCATGCCTTTTCTAAATTTCTGGAGGAGTGAATTGTGTCATGGTGCTCTTTTTCCCAAAGACAGTACCCATCTGACTCTACTATGCGGTGTGCAGTCAACAAAATTAAAAAAATGTGCAAAATTAATAATATAGAATGGTAACAATTTACTCATCACACACAATTTGTTGGTGTGTGTAAATATTATATATATATATATATATATATATATATATATATAGGATTAATACAAATGAAATTTAACTGATGTTATATTCAGCACCTTGACGTTACAGTCCACTCTTCAGGAGGTTTCAGCAATTACTTGCTGTTTTTCTCATTTTGGGTTTACTTAATAGTAATTTTTATGATGAACATGTGTTTCTCATATAGTTATTTAAAATTCAAACCTTACCAAAGTTTCACCTATGAATCATCAAGCAGTAGTTGGTATAAAAAATCGTACCAGTTACTTCCTGATGATTTACAGGTGATGAAATGTCACATGAAAAACATTTCCACTTTGTCATTAATTTTCCTAACAATGTTCTGGTATATAAAATTTATATAAGATTCTCTGCCATATATATATATAATATATATATATATATATATATATATATATATATATATATATATATATATATACACACAAGTTGTATCAAAAATACTTTTATAAACTTTTTGGGGTGTGTTGATGTTAAGATGAATAAGATGTTTTTATTTTTTAAAAAAATGATTAGAGAACTGAAAAAGATTACTCTAAAAATATTATGTCTATATTATTTAATGAAACATGTTTGAATGAAGATATGCTGCCTAAATATACATATACATATGCATATATACACACACATATATAGACTTGTCTCAGTGAAAAATTTAGACAAGTTTTGTCTACTTATTTTCAATAAGATCCTCTCATATTCATGAACAAGCTTCTTAGTATCCTTATTAAAGGAAGAGAGAAAATTACCATGTTGATACATATTCATTTATTCCAAGTACTTTTGACATTAGCACAATGTCATCATCAGGGTGTTGTTTTTTTTTCTAAGATAAAATTGTTCTGTTTATCTGAAAGATAAATTTTTAACTGTGAAGTGAAAAATGCTAAAGTTATGTACTGTACAATTTAAATTTCACAATGTAAACATCAGGGGAGATAACTAAGTTTGAAATGTCCGTATGTTTTTTTTTTAAATATCCATATGTTTTTTTGTTTTTTTTAAATATCCATGTTTTTTTTCTTGAGTAATGCTTCAGGGGAGGTTACTAAGTTATGAGTTTGTTGAGAGATTTTTAAAAAAAAGTATCACCCAACCAGCCATTATTTCAAGTCTCCTCAAATGTAATCAAATTGTCAAGCATATAAAAGGATAGGTAAGACACACTAGTTCAGCTCTCCTTGTCTTTGTTTCTAATGAAATTTTCATATTTCCTAGTACTTTGCTTAGTTTCTGGAAGGCTTTGTTATGATCCAGAATGATGATGATATTTTTCATCATTCTAAAAACAACCTTTCTACCAGTGATGATTGATGATAAGGATATTTTAGAATCCTGGAAATAAAGATAACAGTTTCATCATTCTAAAACAACCTTGCCACCAGTGATCATATATGATATTTCATCATTCTAAAATCTGAAACGTCGTCATTATAAAAAATGTCCCTTCCAACACAGGCAAGGACAGTACAGTAGAGTAGAGTAGCAGTAGAAAAAAGGAAGAACACGGACATATCATCATCACGCCGTGAAAAGTTGACAGTCTCAAAGGCTACCCTTAACAACAAAATTCTCAGAAGAAGCAAAAACAAATAAGCACAAACTTTTAAAGAAACAAAAGAGACAATAACACTGAAAACATTTTTAACACACACAATACCATTATTGTAATTAACATCACAAACAGAAAAATACACATTCTTATCATTAATTTCAACATTTGTCTCAAAGTCTTGTTGTTATTGTTGTACGTTTTATTCATTTCATTTTCATTAAAAACAAAAGAGAAAAGGAATCCTCTATTAACTACAAATACATACAACAATGGGGTAACTTAAATTATGCATACGCAACATTTAACCCCATTACAGCTTCTTTTACTGTCTCCATCATCTTTTATTACACTACTCAAATAGTTCAGTTTTGTCTATACTTTGAATGTCTAAAAATTTTAAGCTCAAACCTTGACTTGCTAACAACCATACGTTCTGTCTTTTTATAGTTGATGGTTAGTCCTTTCTTCTTGCTATCCTTTACCACCTTTTCTAGGATTTTTATTTTAGAGTCTGCCATTGACATAGTGTCATCTGCATATTTTATTTTGTTAAGAGTACAGTGTTTATTGATAATGGAAAACATTATTTCATATGTACATTATTTACATGTGAGCTATTGTCCCCATCTTTTTTGTTGTTATCAAAACAATTTGGCCATTGTGACCTCTAGCCTTCATCTGAATTCTTTATTTAATCTACAAGGGTAGATTGTCCGCATTCTACTGTCCATGTCTAGGGATATCTTGTTTAGTTCTTATTTAGTGGTTCCCATATGATCATTGAAGTTAAGCAACATTGGGCTTGGTTAGTACCTAGATGGGTGACTGATTTGGAATACCAGGTACTGTAAGTTTGGATATGTGAGCGGTGTAATGGATAACTGCTCAAAATTGGAAATTGGAAGGCAGAGTTCCAATTCAAATTGGGTTTGTTTATATTCAGTTGGGAAACAGTATGAATTGACCTCTTCCTCTCCAGCTACGGGTTAATTAGTATGACTTGTATCAGTAAATCATTATTATCGACCCAAAATTCTTACAATCTAATAATATTTTCTGGTTCTAAATAACCTGCAATAGGTTGACAAGCCATAAAAAACAAATAAGTCAATCTTATTTAGTACTATTCATTTATTGCTCACTTCATATCTGGCAGCTAAGAATAAATTTAGAGTACACTAAGATACCTTAGTTTTTGCAGAGCAGTGGCAGCATACACAGTGGATTAAATTGGCAGCATACACAGTGGATTAAAGTGGCAGCATACACAGTGGATTAAAGGAAAATATATTGCTCTTTGCTATGACAATGCAAGACTGCATACAGCTTACACAGTGGATTAAAAAAAATGTTATTCTCCTCTAGGCCTCTACCCAACCACTTCTGTATTCCTAGCCTTCTCCTAGACTGGTTGCCAATAAAAGCTAGCCAAATCTGCACTGCTATTTAACCCATAACCAAGGTTGTGTGAAAGTGAATGCAATGACTTGGCCAGTATTTGAACTCAGTATACCAAATTTCTGCACCTGTAACCACTATGCTATACACACATTTGATATAAACTTTATTTCAAATTTGGAATGGTCAACAAGATGGCCTTTTTTTTTTTATTTTACATTTCTCATGATATTGGAGTAGGAGGCATTGTGAAATGATTGTGCAATTATTTTATTGTCAATGGGTTCATATATATGAAATTCCTTCATTGGTACCTTTTTATAATATTAGGGTGTATCAAACATAATTTTTGTTTTTTAATCATGAGAAACCTTTCAAGAACTCTTGTATATCTTTCTAATCATATGCAATGCTCTGGGCAATCTGTGCACTTTTTAAAGTTTTCAAATACTGCTTGTTTATTCACTGATTTCATGAAAGTCTAAGCTTTTCTCTGCAATCAGGGAATAAAAGTTTCTTCTCTACCTTTTGTTTTAAAGTTACATATTTAAAAAAAACTAGTGATTCTCAACTTCTGGGCTTTATTTCAAGAGACAAGTGACCATGCTTAAAAGATTTAAACCAGTTTTGGTGAGACTGGTCAGGTACTGTGTGATTTCTTCCACTTGTTAAATTCTGTGAGCAATTTCAGTGGCTATGAGACCCTGTGGAAAATAACGTTTCAAAACTGTCATAATCTCAGTACATGTATCCACCATTATAATATCTGAAACAAAAACGGTACAGTTGGATTCCTTATATAATTATAGGATTCTAGCTTTTGTCTGTTGTAGTTGGTTTCTTCTCTATCTTTTTTAAAAGTTAATAATAAAAAAAAACTGGTAATTGTCCACTTTTCTGGCTTTATTTAAAGAGACAAGTGACCACACTTAAAACATTTAAAACATATATTTTTGAGGTGATGAATTATTTTTAAGAATTAGATTAAACTTATGAGTTCAACATCTTACTTATTATAAAACACAGATTGTGTGTGTGTGTCTGTACGTTTATATATTGGATCGGATTTCCTACATTTTTCAACCGATTTCAACAAAACTTCACAGGACTACGTAAAATTATCTTGCAGCAGTTCTAACAGCGCCAAAAATTGGAAAAACACAATTGTTTTTGCATGAAATCAATTTGAAAACACAATTAAGAGGCATCACAAGAATGAAAGGGGGACAATTCATATCAAGTTATACTTATAAAACCCAGGTTGTTTGTGTGTGTGTGTGTGTTCATTTATATATGGGATCAGATTTCCTACATTTTTCAACCGATTTCAACAAAACTTCACTTTTTTTTGGCGGGCAGTGTTTCTTATTGTCTTGCACACTTATTTTCTTTATTTTTACATTTAGAATGCTTTAAAAATTCCATTTACAAGACAATTGTTTATAATAAAATTCTATTCAATCGGTAGACTCATAACGATTGAAAACAATGTTTTTTTTTGAGTTTGGGTTTGACTACTTCGTAAAAAAAAAAAAAAAAAAATAATTAAGACATGCATGTCCATCAACCTTAAACAATAATCTTTGTCAATTTTATTTTTCAGTCTTTATGATGGTGGATACTTGATCTATCTCTTACTGTTGTATCCCCGGGCAACGCCAGGCTCTACTGCTAGTTAAAGATAAAATGCCTTTTCTGGACATTCTAGTAGATATTAATAAAGATTTTATCACTTCAATATATGAAAAACAACACAAGTAAAAAATCAGGTCTTCTTAATTATAAAAGTAAATGTCTTCACAAAAAATAAAAAATTTACCCTATGTAAAAATAATGTTGTTTATGAAATCTCATGTCCTTTGGAAGATTGTATCTCCAACATTAGCAGTCAACAAACAATATTAAATTCTTACATTCTTACTAAGTTGACTTGTCACAAATAAGCAAAATAAGACAAATTTTAAGAAATAACACAAAAATATTATATAGGACTCAATGTGAAGAAAGACTTAAAATTCTGGAAGCCATTGAAATAGAAAGGAAGCAGCCAACATTAAATTGGATATCTTTCTCCGTAGGAGAATATATATTGAAGAGGCTTCATTGAAAATAATGCCTCAAGACTGTCACAGTCTCACTACATATGTACACTATTATAATATCTGAAACAAAAAAGCTACAGTTGGATAGTTTATATAATTATAGGATCCTAGTTTTCACAATATTTACATGCGAAACATTGTCTTCATCTTTGTTGTTGTCATCACAATGTTTGGCTGTTGTGTCAACTGGCCTTCAACAACAAAGATAGGGACAATAATCTGCATGTATATAGTGTAAATAATGATAACAACTTATCCCTGAAATTCAGTCAGAAACAATTCTAGCTTTTGAAAGTTTTTAAGTGTCATAGTTGCTTTCTCCTCTACATTTTGAATCATCATAATAGAAAACTGATGGTTGCCCACCCCTGGGTTTTATTTTAAGGGACATGTAACCCCACTTAAAATGCTTGTCTCAGTTTTGGGGGCAGTATAGTCAGATATTGCTTCATTTCTTTCCACTTCCTGAATTCTACAAGCTGCTTCAGCAACTTTGAAGAATGCTTGAAAATTGCCACAACCTCAATATTTCTACATGCTAATAACAAACAGTATAATTTTTATATTTATAATGACATATATACTATAGACTAAAAGTTTGGGGCCTACACTCCAGATTTAATCATTAGTAAGTTTCATAAATTCTTTGGTTTAACTAATTCCTACTAAACTAGGATTCTGAAACTATTTAACACATAACTACATGGCATCAATATTTTTTTTGAGAGGGAATTTACCTAAAAGTCATTCACAGAACAATTGAAAAAAAAATCAAAGGAAAAAAATTGTTACCATTGCAAGTGGGATACTTAGAAACACTATGCTTAATTTGAAAAATTTCAATAGTTGATAAAATTTGAAAAATGGGAAATTTCACAGATATTTATTTTTAAATTTGATTAACTTGAAAGTTTTCAAATTAACCATGGCATTTCTAAGTAGCAGGATTTTCATCGTAACATCTTTTTTATCTTATATTTTTTTCTGTTGTTTCTGTAATGCTCATACAGAAAGAAATGTTGACAACAAAATGAAAAACATTTAAGCTATCTATTGGTTTTAATGATTTCCATTTTACACACACACACACACACACAAAACATATATTTAAAAAAGTAATATTTGAAAATTTAAATTTAAAATTTTCAACATCCCTTCTCCTCCGTATTCAGGCATAGTAGGCACCACTTTAATCTGATGAAGTCCTAAAGGATGAAACGTGTTACATAATAACTTTTTCTGCTTTGTTATAGTTTTTTTCCTAAAATATTTCATCATATATAAAAACTTATATGTCATTTTCCCATATATATATATATATATATATATATATATATATATATATATATATATATATCTATATATATATATATATATATATATATATATATATATATATATATATATATATATATATATATATATATATATATATATATATATATATATATGTATATATATATATTCATATATATATATATATATATATATATTCATATATATCTATATATATATATATATATATATATATATATTCATATATATCTATATATATATATATATATGTATATATATATATTCATATATATCTATCTATCTATATATATATATATATATATATTATATATATATATATATATATATATATTCATATATATATATATATATATATATATAAATGTAAATTTTTAAGCTCAGTGGGTGAAAAAAATGGATGCTACAATTTTTCAAATAAATTGGCATCCAAGGAAAAATAGGGAAAAAAAAGAAAGTACCAGAAACCTTCAAAGAGGGTAGAAAAATTGTTCATTACCTTAAATTTCTGGTACAAAGAAAAAAAAACAGTGAGTAATAAGTTAAAACAAAGAGTGCTCAATAAGCTGAGTAAAAATAAAGTTATATATAAATGAGAAGTATATATATAAAAATTATATATATATATATATATATATATATATATATATATATAAATAACTGAGAAGGATATATAAAGGAATAAATTTATATATATATATATAAAACTTCCTTTATATATCTTTCTCAATTTTTAATCAAATATTGCTGTGAACCCCCATTTTGGTATTTTTTATGTGGACTCCCAGTAATGTTACATGGACACCCCCACCCCGGTCCATATGGACCCTGATTGAGAACCACTGGTGTATGTTAACAATCTGGGAAAAAAACAACAATTTATTAAATCAGTTTAAAATAGGGAAAGTGAGAAATGTTTAATGATCACAAAAGCATCACTTTGATTAATTTTCAAAACATCTTTCTTACAGTTTCTCTCTGTTTGTATTTGTTGCACTTAATGCAACAATGGACAAGTTATGTGTGGCTACACTACA